TAAATTGAATGTTAAAAAGTAATATTTGTCCCTTGATAATTTATTGAAGTGAAGACAAGTGTTACAGTTTTACCTCATCAACATTTAAGCCATGAAGTACTAAGTCTCTCTGACTTATCTGCCTTCATTACTATAAAATGAATTCTTTTGTATTATACGTATACAATCTCCCCAAATTATCAAAATGTGAACACCATTGTTAACCACCACCAGATTTTACCTTTTGTTTATCGTGGAGGCGACTTTCTTTCATCTTTTGTACAGAGTTTTTTAAAAAATTTGTAACATCTTTTGGAAACATAGAGATATTTAATGCTTCAAAAACTGGAGTAAGGAATGGAAAGAGTACTGTAGGAAAAAGAAAAAAAAAGGAACCAATGATGAAACCCCCACATTTATCTGGAGCAATTATAATTTTCTCTATTAATCAGAGGAGCAGCTGACTTCAGGGTTCTCAACCAGGAGTCATTCCTTCTGTGACCTTTGTTCGTCTTGCAGGCCAATGGCTAAGCAAGGGCATATCCGTACATAGAGGTCACTGCTGTAGCAGTGAGAACAATGACCCCTTCTGCATTTTTGGATAACTAAAGAATAGGATGAATTGCTTGACCTCTTATACTTTTCCTGTTTCTTGTTCAGTAGACAAGACCATATTCTGCTACTTTAATTAATTGCACTTTACATGAAATAATAGTTGGGATACAAAAAATATAGCCTATGTTCTTCAACTAACATGAGATGAAACTAGAAATCAATAACAGAAAGAAAATTGGGAAACTCACAAGTATGTGGAAATTAAATAAGCCGTTCTAAATAACCAATGTGTCAAAGTAGAAATCAGAAGAGCAGTTACAAATTATTTTGAAATAAATAAAAACAAAGACAGGAAAGGCCCAAATTTACGGGATATAGCAAAACCATGCTCAGAGAGAGACTTAAGGTTTTACATGTTTAACTTTTAAGAAAAAGATCTCCAACCAATAATGTAACTCTATCCCATAAAATAGTGAAAAAAGAAGAGTAAACTAAATGCAAGCACAAGAGAAAACTATAAGAAAAACTAAAGTGTAAGCTAATGAGATAGACCCTTAAAACAATAGAGAAAAATTAATGAAAGCAAAGTAGGTTCTCTGAATATATCTTCAAAATTGCCAAATTTTTAGTTAGGTTGCCAGATTAAAAAAGAAAGATGACTTAGATTAATAGTCTCAGAAAGGGAAATTACTACTTACATGGAAACATTTAAGTAATGATGAAAGCAATGAAAAAGAGAATAAAGTATAGAGAAAAGTCATTGAAACCATTTTTATAATATAAATGCCCAGAATACTTGAAGAAATTGGCCTGGGAGAATACTTTATGAGAAGGATGCCCCCAGGCAATTTAAGCAATACCAAAACTATATTACTGGGATCTGATCAAACTAAAAAGCTTCTGCACTGCCAAGAACATAGTAAGCAAAACAAGTAGACAGCCCTCAGAATAGGAGAGGATATTTGCAGGTTATGTTTCTGACAAAGGTCTGA